AAACAGATTGACAGCCAAACACCAAAAATATCTCCTGGTATATTTTTGTTCTGCAGTAATAAATGACTTGGCAAAACATCAAAACGCGCCAGGGGAAGATGTTACAGAGGCTGAGTGTACGGACATACGTTCTGTTTCTGCCTCCTGGAAATTAATTCAACAATTTGAAGGTTGGAGCAAATTCATACGGAAAAAAATACTATACAGATGCACGAAATTATACCCTTCAAGACTGGCCCTTTGGGAGAACGAAGGTTTAATGTAACCCTCTTTTGACACTCACTTCGGTGGCCCTGTTCCCGACCCTACCGCAGGGAGTTCTGAGGGCCCAGACTAAACTGTGCATCTTCCAGCCATCCAATAAATAGTTCGATGGGAAATCTGATTGCACCAAGCCCCAAAGTCTAGCGGAGCGTAGATATGTTCACAGCCGCTGATGAATGCCTTTTCGAATGCCTTAAAAGTTGTCTACACTATGTGCCGACTGATTTTTAAACTATTAGCTACTGAGACTTTTTTAAAATCCACCCATTTTCCTGGCCTATGCAGGGCTGGAAGCGAGTTTCACAGCTAGACAATAATTCTGATCAAATGTACCGGAATTTCGATGGCCTAGCAGCATATGACCTCTCTTTCCCACCGCTCCTCAGAGCCTTAGCCCAGTTTAGAAACGCAAAAGTGGCTCCGCGTTGTCATGAAGATGACGATTCCGTAGAAAAAGTGGATATTGACACACAGGAGAGAGTGGTGGTAGTGCACTTTACCTTTTGTATTTATAATGTAATTTTATATCTCAATATAGGTTCTTCTAGATTTTATTCACCTTTTAGAAATTCTGGCACAATAAAAGGAAGCTGGTTTCCAGCCAGGAATCACTCTTCCGGGACAAATTCTGCTCCCATGGATGTGACTAGCAAATTTCCATGGACTTCGATGGGATCCAGATTTGGCCCTGAAGACTTCTTGGTTGTCTGTCATGCGCGGGTTAAAAAGTCACATCAAACACTGTTGTGGTCATATATGCATAATATTTACGTCTTGGAGAGACACGATTGTTGATGGGTACATTGAGTCACTAGACATCTGCAAAACCTTTAAGTAATTTTCTGTTACGAGAGAATTTCAAATACTGACTGCAGACACAACATCATCTATTCCTCTCAAAAACCAAGATCTCAGCAAAATATTGTATATCAGAAAATATGCACGATGGCTCTTTCCGAGATCAACAAACGACGGCTCTCCAGGCTCTGTTTCACTTCGGGGCAGTGATCCCAGCCTGCACTTGTCTGCAATCTTAAATCCAAAAAGAAGTTATTTCTCTTTTGCTGACTAAGGCCATTAAATAACGATATTTGGGAAAATATCAAAGGGAGAGGGAGACGTTCATTATAAATTTCCCTATAAAACAAACCCAGAAACATTAGCTCTTTCCTGAGGAAAGATACCCAACTATGAAGGGAGTAATTGACAGTGAAAGGAATTATGTCTCAAACAGTTCCCCACAAAAGTATCTGGCAGAGAAGAGAACCCTGCTTAAACTTTGGAAAGTTTCAAGCTACGTTTTAATGGACATGGCTGAAATAATGTAAATACCACTTTCCAGCGGCTCTCCCCTAATAAGTTTTTAAAAGATCTGTTCGGAAATTATTCACTTCGTCTTTCATATACCGTTTCTCGGAGTTCTGGTTTTAAATATTTGGTATGCAGTACTTATGGCAAAACAGTACACGTTTGTCACATGTATTTTAAACAAATGTGGGGAGTGCATTTGGTCCGAAGCGAATTTATACTTAAGACACCGCCATCCTAGATATATACACTAGCAAGCTTTCATCCTCTGGTTTTGAAAACCCGCCCCTCCCCCCCAACCCCTGAATGACATATTTAGAAAAATACATACATTGAGAATTCTCTGGACAGGGACAGGTCCTATTACAGGTTTTCCCAGACAAAACTCCCCTATTGAACAAACTTTGCCAACTGAGCAATCACGGTGTGTTCAAAGAACAAATATGCGATCAAAAATTAGCAACAACCCCCCCCCCCCCCCCC